TTAGGCCGGACGCACGCCTATTAGTCAAGAGACGATAAGACACGGTTAGACAAAGCAACGTCGCATAAGACATAGACATTCTTAGTCAGTGTAAGATTTGAGGTTTTCACAGCGATGAGTATGAAGATTTCTGTCTTCTGAGTTGTTTTGCTGTGTAGTCTGGTCGATGTTTACCAACGTTTCAGAGGTCATACTGCCTCCGTCATCAGGGCGATGAATGACGCCCTGATGACGGCTGCAGTTATGATTCTTGAGTGGTTATGTGAGGAACAGGGGGAGGTATTGGGTTAATCTATTTGTTCAAGACAGCGATGATAAAAATACCACACAAAATTTAATTCTCGAACGACGAGCTCTTGCTGAGGGATATCTTAGTTTTACGCGATTGACGCCTGAAACTGTTGATTTTTTTTTGCAAATGTCCTGTACTTATGAGATTTAATGACGGAAAAGACTACAAATTATTCAGGAAGAGAAGCTTATATGTTGCAGCACGATTACATAAATGTACAGTTTATAAAAGCAAAATATTAATTTTGAATTCTTTAGTGCTGGGTATATGAGGGTCTTAGTCAAACATAATCTGTGCTGAGTTAAGCTCTTCTTAAAGAGCACTTAAAGTTATTAATGTAGAGTAAATGCGGTGATACATTCCCCCATTTAAAATAAATTTAATTTTCTTTTGTTATGAATTTTCTGAATTTATTTTCTGACGCCTTGACAAACAAATACCTGAATTAAATATTTATTTGCGTTCCGTAGATGAAATTGTAAATTACTGTAATCCTACACTAGCGATCAACTACCGACCAGATATTCTGCGTTCGTCAGGTACTTGGGGAGGGGGTCAAAGTGGGGCAGTACTTTAACTATTTGTAGACTTAAGTAAATACTGTGAATCTCGTAGTAAAAAGTACTATACAGCGTTCTCGTTGAATTCGACATAAACCCATTAGGCTAATTAAAATTTGGTTAAAGGAAGTTTTAGTAAGGTCGGTACAGGTTGACATTTGTCGGGTGTGTTTCCTGCTCAGAATGCTTCTAAAATTCGAGGTGTTTTGTACACATTGATTTTCAAATTTAGTTTATAATACATCATTAAAAAGCCAAGGCAACAAAGAGGTTTGGGTTTGAATGAGGACACACCTGCTTTTGGTCTTTAAGCGCTGGTGGCGCTATAATCTTACTATATAATATTTATTCATATAACTATAAATCTACTTCCTCATTCCCTATTTCCAGATATATGTTACTAAATTTATTGTTTCATTTACATCTAAGTTTAAGCAAGTCTTTTCCAATACTACTTAATATTACTGCATTATGAACATTTATTATTTTCTTACGAGCTACACACTCATTAACAATAAGCCATTTTCTGCTCAAAACTATTTTAATAGAATTTTTGTGGCGTTATTTTTCTCCCTAGGTAGAGGATATTGTCCCTCAAGTATTCTCACTCTTAATAAACCTTAACCATGCAAACTGTGTTTGCTTCCCTTGTCCACTCATATTTCTTATCACAATAAAATAAGTAGATGTGCAACTTTCAGTTTCTCATGATGGAATCTGTTCCATGGTATCAGTTAGTTATTGAATTTATTTGTTGGAGATTATACTGGTGAAAGTGGACGAGGGATTTTTACGCTGGCTCTGAATATCGCCCTCATCTTCGTCCCCCCGAATTCGACATAGTTTACTTCCGCTGTGTGGTTTTCCGATGGGCAAATCACACTCGTCTGGGTCGTTTGGCTGGGACAGTTCCAACTCGCGGTTTGTTCTCTGCGTCTCGTTCCAAAAGTCAGTTCTGATTAAGATTTTTTTATTATTCATGCGACCTATCGACTTGTCACTAACGTCATCCTCCGAGATGTCTGTGCTGCCTCGTTTATTGTTTTCTGTCGCTCTTCTTTCCCCCCAATCTTTCTCCTCCAGTGCTCCACATAATCGTTCCACCTCTGTTTATTTTGTTTTATAACTATCCATTCTTTCTCACGAACTCGTATTTTCTAACCCGTTTGCCAATCACGTGATTTGTATGAGCAGGCTGGCTGCGGAATGTAAGACAGAAATTCGATTCCGGTGGGACACACGGTTCAGTGTGTGCAAGAGTCGAGATTTCAGGTTGTCACGACGGAGAGTATGAAGATGACTGTCTTATGTGATGTTACGCCTTGTAGTTTAACTAGCTAGATGGCTTACGGAACCCGAAGGTCCATCACCGAAATTACCAAAGCCCTCCACCGGACCCTAGACTTAAGTTCCTCTGTAGAACCATTGAAACGCGTTGTCGCCCTGGTGATGGAGGCAGCAAGCACCTCTGAAACATCGGTAAACTTCTGCTAGACTACAAGCCGCAAGGATTCAGAAGACATCCATCTTCGAAAACAGTGTAGTGGTGCGTTCAGAAGGAGCATAAATCTGTAGTGCTAAGTTCTAGATTGCGTGGATTTTTCCTCCACGCCTTCTATATAAATTGTTTGTTGATTTATTTGTAGTTTATTTAACGACTTTGTCATTAGCTCAGTCTGTATAGTGTCGAATGATAGGATGAATAATGAATAGTGAAAGGAAAAGGCTGTAGAAGGATGCGGTTGTGACCTACTTCAAAGTACTATCCTGGCATTTGCATGGAGGGGCTGAGTGGAACCACGAAAAACCGTGCGTTAATCGGTGTCCAGGTCGTGATTTTAACCCGGGATCTACCGAATTCGGGTGCTAACCACTTGGCTCGACATTCAGTAAATTCTTGCTGTGTATCTTAGTCACAGGGGCAAATGTATCTGTTTCGCTTTTACCTCGTATTTAGATGCAATTTTGTGTTCTGGAGATGAATCTCTTGAGTTCCTTAAACAACACTTCAGTACTTCCGGTCTGCGGAGCAGGGAGTTGCCTCATTTTTACTCTTTATTTCCCTTTGTCCCTCATTTCTGCGATGTTTCTCAGTCTGTTTTTCCCAAAAGTTTGGCAACACCGTGACGCTTGTACGTATATATTAGGGAGAATTTTCAGCAAGCGAAATTAAACATGATATTGAAAGAACGCAGTATTAAATTGTTTCATTTGGTTAAAGGAAATTATTGAGTAAAATGTGAAACTGTTTCCATCAATAGATTTAATTTAGTAACATATTAATACATTGTAGTGACGTTTAAACAAACGGCCCGCGAGTATGTTAGAAATTGTGACTGCAGCCCCAGGTCTAGAAGAGGTTGATAACCCCTGTACCAACTTTTTGTTCACGCTTACATTTTTTCTTTTCTTGTTTTTAAATGGTGTAGTTTACGTCCTTTATGAAACACCAGTAATTATATCGATTGACACCGTACACGGAGCCACTCTAATAAAGTACATACTTTTACTTGGAGAAACTCTCTAAGTTTTGTGACAGCCTTAGTAAGTCTCCTAATGTGAGCACAATTTGTAGAACCTACATTCTGCACGTAATGACATTAAGAAAACGTACTGCTTATGTTACTATGCAATAATTTCAGTTACCTGTGTTAAGTAGCATTAGTGTTGCGCCCAAATCACAAGTTCGTGGTTCCCCCATGTTGTTATTACAAATTATACGGATTAAAATTTACGATGTTGGAATCAATTTTTGTGTCATAATATTGATACAAAATGATGTTAACATTGGTCAGCTAGTTCGAAAGTTAGAAAAAAAAACATTGTGTGCTTTTATCCCTAAGAAAGGAAAGTCGGTCAGAAACCTACCACGTTGTTTTAGAAAAAGTCACAAATCTCGTTTGACCAACATTTTTATACGAGAATTTATATCTCTTAAATAGTTACCCTGCTACTTCCATCTCAGCTTTAGTTCATGTGTTTGTTCATATTACAGCCAATACAATTGCTTTGTCGGTGATAATGTTACCGCAATTTTGCCATATGTGGGCTACGTAACGTTTATGTACATGGATTCAGTCTTAACGTACCCTTAGTCGGGAAGACTGTTTGCCAAGAAAAATGCCATTCAGTGTTATTCGTGGGGAGGCCTCGTTAGTTATTCATTGAGGTATTTAGTTATTTAGATACCTGGTTAGTCAGCGAGTGTGCTGGAACTGGAGCATTGTTACTGGGGCTGGCATACCGTGTGGGAGAGAGACAAACAGACTCACGTAGCTGCCCAAAATACACGGAGCAGTGGTGGCGGCCATCCCACTGAGCTATTTCGGGGCGAGGTGTAACCTGACCGACTGACTGACTAACTAACTGACTGACTGACTGACTGACTGACAAGGCTCCTGTTGTCAGTTTACGGATGGAATCACTCGAGGTTCGTATTTGGCGCGCGTTAACTCTTTTGATTTATTCGTTAACCATTTGGAATTACAGTAAAGTACGTCCTTTTAAAGTAAGGTGTAATGATGAAGGGCCTTTGAGTTGAGATAAGCGGTAACTTTTTAAGTTAGTACCTTGCCTTACCTTAGTAGTCTAGGCAACACGGAGTTTTCCTCCGTGGCATCCCAACAATTACTCCATTCACACACAGAAGAAGGCAATGGCAAACCACTTCTGGATCATCTGCCAAGAACGTATATGAACAGGTCCCAGTCCGAGAAAAGGATGGAAGGATCCTGTTCATATGGACCTGTCGTCAGACAGAACACTAAATAATAAATAAAACCTTGCTTTTATAAAAATCGAACGTCTATTACCACGTTCAAGAAAGCCCGCCGTCACACCTCATCATAGTTCAGTCAGTCAACCTTACCTTTGTAAAATCCATTTTAATATTATACCCCTACGTCTCTTTCTTATGGGTTTCCGGAACATTTTGTATGCATCGCATTTTATTTTGGTTGTTAAGTGCTCCATATACCTAATCCTACTTGGAAGGAGTCGTAGCTTGTTTTATCGAAACATTTCTCTCGAATAACCCAGTCAAGCCATAAAAACCCATCGGCTTCGTGGGCCGAAAAATTAATTAGGGACCTCCCGATCACAAAGCAACGTACTTGAAGGTAGTTTAATTTTCATGTGTCTGCTTGCAGGTACATACCAGGGACAGTGGCTTCGAGGGATGAGACACGGCTATGGAGTGAGGGCCAGCGCTCCCTTCGGCATGGCATCGCACTACAAACCCAGCAAGGCTGTGCGTGCTTCTATGACATCGCTTCGGAGCGCCGAGGCGGGCGGTGGCAGCACTGTCGGAGGGGCTGCAGATCCAGCCGCGGAAAGGGACCGGAGGGTGGACGACTCCAGGGGCGGCTTTGTACTGAAGGCACGTAGCGACGAGCCACCCGCGAGGCGGAGATCCCTCGTTGAGAAGGGATCCAACATCAAGTCTATCTTCTCGGTGCGTACAGTGAAGTTTTTGCTTCTCCGAACCAAAAAACAGAAGCTCCTTAACAAAAGAATCACGCCTGAAACAAAACACGACACGCGGAGGCAAATCTCATTCAGCTTTGTGGACTAAAATGGCTTACAGTATTTACACAACACTGATTGTGATTAAAATTGAAGGAAACTTTTCTCAAATCTCCGTCCATGCCTTTTTTTTATTTCGGCGCTAGAGGGGTGTGACTTGTCAGTTCCTTACTCCGCCCATCTCATTGCCCACTATAAAGGACACTGAGGATCTCATAACCGCTTTGACATGGTGAAGATAAAGTTCCTCCGCCCTTGCTGAGAATCTAATCCTGGCTTGTACAATCCCATCTGTCATTACTCCTTAAAAATAGCAATGGCTTGAAAATAATCGTAAGACTAACTAACTAACTAGATGGCTTACCGAACCCGAAGGTTCATCATCGAATTAACCAAATCCCTCCACCGGAACCTGTCCTGGGCCAACAAAATCCAGTTTCCTTCAACTCCTATCTCCCATAGATCCCGCCTGAGATTATCCTCCCATCTACGTCTAGGTCTCCCCAGCGGTCTTTTCCCTTCAGGTTTCCCAACCAATACTCGGTGCACACTTCTTGTCCCATCCATGCGCGCTACATGCCCCGCCCATCTCATTCTTCTCGACTTAATCCCCCTGACAATACTGGGGGAGCAGTACAGATTTTTAAATAATAATCGTAAGATTCGTTTTAAAAATGCAAGTGTTAGGATAGGAAGATGGTATGTAAGGGAAGCTTTATGAAATGTGCAGGTCTGTACGTGTTGCCATTCTAACTAAATGAAATTATGATTGCCTAAGCAGGGTTTGTAATAATATGCAAATATGTTTGTGATCTAGTCGATCATGGTATTTTATTCTTACGAAAAGATAAATTACAGTCGTATGGAAACGAAGTTATCAGGAAAATATTTGTGTTCACGAGACGTAATCTACTTATGGAATAGAGGATTTTACGAAACGGATAACATTCGGTTTCGAACAAGTAATCTGTTTTTGTTATGAGAATCCAGTCAGGTATTTTACAAGCAACCGGTATAAGCCATTACCACTCGTTTGATATACTTGTCTTAAAAATAGTAGCTGATGGTTCTTGTTTGCTAGAATCAAAATTATTTAAGAAAAGACAGTGTTAGAGCGCTTTGATTTTAACGGGATGTTGCAGAGGATGCGAAAGCAGCGAAGCACGGGAGACCTGGACAAGCGGGGCGGAAACTCTGCCAGCATTCGGAGTACCAGTTCCAACGCCTCCTGGATCAGCACGGAGTCTTCTCAGTCCGGGATGACCAATGCTTCGGTACACACCGACTCCAACGCCAGCTTCGTCGTCGAGGTGAGATCGACGTATTCTGACAAAACTTGGTACCTAGACGCCGTTGCTATATCACAGACTCCTAACCACAGGGGCCCGGGTTAAATTCAATGTCAATCTAGAGGTTGTTTGTAGTGGGAAAAGCACGAAGTTTCTCTCATAAGTCTATTTAAAATTGTTCTAAGCAAGGAATTATTTCATCATTCCTTCATAGACAACCTCCACAGTCATTGTCAATTTGCGTGCTTAACTGGGAATTTACCTCTAACCCAGCAGCATTTGGCTCAAATTAGAAGATTAAATTTTAGTTCAGTGTGGTACTTTGAGATGCTATTTTAATTTTGGTTCAAATTGAACTGAGTAGATTGCTGCTTTACGTGAAGGACATGGCGTGGCCTATTTTACCTGTCTTGCTTCTTCTTCTTCCGTTTTTGACGCTACAACTCGATTCGAGCCTTTGACTCATGTGATCTCAGTGACTGGTTTCTCTCGAGGGAGTCCGGCTGATCGGATGCTGTTACTTCAGCAGGGTAACACAAAGCAACTCCGACAGTCATCCATGCTCGAAGCAGTTTGCAGTCGGCTATGAGTGTTCGTGTGTGATCGGTCACATTAAATATTTTGTTAAACGTTTGGACAGTCCCTTCACTTGATTTTTAAGTATAGTGCGATTAAAAAATCTTACTGGTTATCGAAATTCGTGATAGGAGCAGTACAGATGACAAAACGTTGAAAGACAAACTAATTTTTTTTTAAAAAAAAATTACTATCCAAGTCAAATATGGGCTCCGTTTATAATATATAAAACATTTAATTATATATGATATTTAATATATTTGAATATTTTCCTTAATGTGGTTTTTTTACAATTTTTGATACCTTACTTAGCCTGTTGTAGAAAATAATCGCGTTGCATATCTGCATTGTCACTCAGCAATTATTTGTTTTCCTGGTTTGTTTGATATTCATCAAACCGATGCATATTTCAAACAAGAGTTGTACTAATGTTTCGAATGATGAGCTGCTTTATGGCAATTTCATTAAATTAACTTTGGCTTCATGTATAGTGTGGTTTATGTTGGACCTATACTGGCCAAATTTTACTTTCCCCGACAACGTTTACTGTGAACCATACCAATATTAAATTTGTTCGAGGTTCTCGTGTATAAATCACACGTAATACATTTGGAAAATACGTGCAATTTGACCAAACTGAGACGGCTTAGTGTTGAATGAGATACAAAGACGGAAATGCTGAACGCTGTGTGTCTGCAGGACGAACAGATGGACGAGAGCGTCACGGAGACGTACATGGGCGAGTGGAAGAACGACAAACGTTCGGGGTTCGGCATCAGCGAGCGTTCGGACGGACTGCGCTACGAGGGCGAGTGGTTCGCGAACAAGAAGTACGGTTACGGGGTTACCACGTTCAGGGACGGCTCCAAGGAGGAGGGCAAGTACAAGAACAATGTCCTCATCACGTCCCAAAAGAAGAAACACTTGTTTCTCATCCGGTCAGCAAAGTTCCGTGAGAGGATAGACGCGGCTGTCAACGCCGCGCAGAGGGCTTCGAAGATCGCTCTTCAGAAGGCTGATATCGCCATCTCGAGGTGAGCAAACGACTAGTTCAGCTTCCTCGTCATTTTAGTAGACGCCATCAAATCGTACAATGTTGCGACACGAACAGCGGAGCGTGGGCAATGGCTGTTGTAGGTGGAAGTGATTAGTGACTTTCCAGCCGCTTCACCTCCAGATATGGAGTCATCAGTTAGTTTGGGTGGACCCTAGAGCGAGTCTGGATGTGGTGCCGAAAACAAATATTCCTGTCCATTCCCGGCAACGAACCCCGAACGTCTAGCTCGAAGCTGTTCACCCAGTCGCCTTTGTTGTCAGAAAGATAAATGTAACCAATATACACTTAAATTATGGACGTCCAGTGGTTCAGGTGGTTAGTCACCGGCGCGGGGGAGGAGGACAACGGGTTTGCTAGCGGCCTCAGTCTAATTTCTTTAAGAAAGGCTCAGAGGATTCTAAACTACCTCTAACCAGTTACACCATGCAAACTTCTTAGCTGCCCGAACACATCACTATGAGCGACACTCGTATCGAATAAAAATTGTGATGGGACTTTGTTAATCATTTCCAGTACCTTAATTAAATTTGGAGAAATGAGAATTCTATATCAGCGCCGTGATTTAATGATTTCTGATTCCATTTGCATGTGATGTAGGAAGCGCCAGCTCGGGCAATGATTGTAGCCCTATCACCACCTTGTCGAAGGCAATCTGCCGGGTGAGGAGGCTTGAGTGCTCAAGTGACCCTTAGGGCTATGCCGGCCGGAGCTTTGGCTCATGGTAGGGTCACCCAAGCCGGACAGGTCTAAGGAGATGCGCTAGACTAAGAGTGATACCCTGGTTCTCCATGTTGGGGGGTTGGGCGTAAGGCTAACAACCTTTCACCTTTAAAAAAAAAGCTGTGTTACGAAAAAATCAACCAAGTCTCTGGCTTTGGATAATTCGGTGATGAACCTTCGGGTTCGGTAAGCCATCTAGTTAGTTAGTTATTGTCGGCTCTTTATTTTAGCCCCAGACGTCGAAGCCTGCAGTCGCAAACTTCTAGATTTTGGAGTACATGGCAGCAATTCTACCCATGTTGTCTAGCGGCAGGTGGTTCACTGTCAACCAGAGTAGGAGACAACGTGCCGTACAAACACGTGACTGTCGGCCAATGTTGATTCTAGGGATCACCAAG